CATGCACCCATAGCTCTGAAAGATACTTTCTAACAGGAGTATTCCTAGAAAGGCAACTAGATACTTAACTCCGCAAGGATATACTGTGCACTAAATGTATACACACTTTGACTAATTATTAACTGCAGTGGGTGAAACCTGGAAAGAAAGAATCATCAGTTGAGCCATCAGCTTCCAGTAGCGTGTCTGCTACTGACCGGTTCCTGTGGGAGTTGTCCGGTGGGAACAGTTTTTTTGCGCAAAGAAACTCGTGCATTTTATAACACGCCTGTTCCTCTTAGCAGCTCTGCCTTTGAGCCCCAGAACCCGCCAGGCGGAGGATCTGCTCCCTTGTTCACTAGGCAGACCTATTAAATGCCGCTGGGAGCCAGGCTCCGTGCCAAGCTGAGCGGACGGCAGTGGTCAGAACAATACATCTTGTTTCCTCACAGCGAGAGCGAGCTTAGCTGGGTGGGGAAAACCAACATTACCAAGCAAACAAGCACACTTACGGTCACAAACTGTGGTCAGAATTACGGGGTAAAGCGCAGGGGGCTCTGAGCGACCAGGACAAGGCGCCCCTGTAAGGGGCTGGGGGCCTCTGCGAGGAGCTGAGGCAAAGCGTGAAGGAGCCGTAAGAAGAGCTGGGCCTTCTGTTTAGAGAAAGCCTCAGAAGTTCCGAGTCGTAGCCTAAATAACAAATATAACGCCACCTGCGCCCAGGCAATGATTCGAAGCTGGGCGGCGCTCCCGAGCCTCCCAGACCGCCGCGTATTAGAAAGGAGACAGCCTTTCCCATCACGCGTGGCCTGTGTGGGCTCCGACACACAGCTCGGGGCTTCTGTGGACCGGCGGAGGGAATGGACAGTTAAACAGTAAAACAGGCCCTAGCCCGTGTGGCTCAGTGGTTAGAGCACCCTCCCGTGCACCGAAGGGCCATGGGTTCGATTCCCGGTCAGCACACATACCCAGGTTGCAGGTCCGATCCCCGGTCGCGGTGCATACAGGAGGCAGCCGATCGCTGTTTCCCTCTCACATCGATGTTTCTCTCTCTCCCGAATCAATGAAAAACATACCCTTGGGTGATTATTAAAAACAAAAGTAAAGCAGACACAGAATTTGGGCCCGTGTTGAACCAAGAAGAGCAGGGGTAAAACACTTTTATTAGACTCGATTTTTAACAGAACAAAACAAAGAGCAGGGCAAGTACCAAGGGTTCACTAAGATGAATGCCTGAGGCCCAGGAAAGAGCGAGACATAAACGTGGAAACAGGATTTAAGGCCCCGGAGGGGAAAATTCGAGCTGCGTCTCAGGGTTGGTTACTGGGCTTGCAGAGGGGCCTGCGATCCTCTCGGGCCGGGCGGCTTCCTCCCGTGCGGCCCAGATAACCTGACGCAGCTCCTCTTACTCCGCTCAGTAGCTTCCTCTTCCCACTCGTGACCCCCCCGCCCCACGGGCCCCGGGCTACAGGATCGGGATGTAGCTGTTGATCTTGGTGCGGTGTCTCTGCGAGATGCACTCCGCGATCCACACGATGTTCCTCATCTCCTGCTCCCTCAGCTTCGTGTAGGCGTAGAACACGCCGCAGTGGAACTGCCTGGAGAACGCCAGCACGTTCATCTTCACCTGAGCCGGGGGCAGTGTGACCATCAGCTCACCCGGAGCACACTGACTGCCCACAAGCGACAAGCTCCAGGCGGGCTGGGGCCTGAGCAGATACACGCAGACAGACAGCGTAATTTAAAGAGCAAGTGTGGCCGGGCCGGCGTGGCTCAGTGGATGAGCATCGACCTATGAACCAAGAGGTCAAAGGTTCGATTCCCGGTCAGGGCACAGGCCTGGGTTTCGGGCTCGATCCCCGGCAGGGGGCGTGCAGGAGGCAGCCGATCAATGACTCTCATCATTGATGTTTCTATCTCTCTCCGTCTCCCTTGCTCTCTCTCTAAAATCAGTAAAAACATATTAAAAAAATAAAAAGTAAGTGTGTAGGGACCATAAGGCAATCCCCAGACCTTAGCAGCACTGTGAGCACAGGCTCCTAGGACCTTGGTGTGTGTGTGGGGGGGGTAACTCTGGAGTCGTATTTATTTGGCTTCTAGCTCGAGGGCTTGTCTCATTTAGGGAAAGCATTTTTCTTGGCCACAGCTTTTAAAGATTTCAAAAGGTTTGTAGGCTGCCTAACTCCCTCCAGGGCAGCGTCCCAGGCCCCTGGCATTTAGACTCAGCTTCGATGAGCGTTTCTAGGATGTTCAGCAGCAACCCGACTTACAGTTCAATTGTTTGTGTGTTTTTCTGTCGAGGGAGATAAGTGAAATTTTCAAAAAAGTAATTTTAAACTGGGGCAGAGTCTGAAAGGGAACGATGCCTGTATTCTGCTCTGACGGAAGGAGGAGAGGTTCCGCGTCCCTCCCGCAGCTCTGAAAACCTTGGCGCGGGGGCCAGGGCGCAGAGGCCGCGGCCAGGAGCAGACGCTCGCTCCTGACCACCCGGCTCCCCAGCAGCCTCCTGGCGCCCGAGGGGCAGGGAGCGGGACTGGAACACTCCTGACCACGAGGACCCTTGAGTGGTTTCCACCGCTTTTTACGACAGACCCTGGTGAGTGGTGGGAAATGCTCAGCCCCCGGGTCTCCCGGCGAGAGGAGATGCTTAAAACCCGGCGTGAGGAGCCCATGCGAGTGGATAGTGTGTCCGTGTCCTACCTCGTGCTCGTAAAACGCGTCCTCCAGCGACTTCCCCGCGCTCCCGTCACCCACGGCCTCGAACAGGGGCTTGTATGCCTGACGAAAGAGCAGAGACGATTTCTTAACAAATTCTCTTTTCTTATAAATGGATGTGATGGTATTTTCCTAGCGACACAGGAGCTGCATCTATTTTAAACACCTGTCCCCAGAAGGACGTTCCTGTAAACCTCGGGCCTCCTGAGGAAACACCAGATTTCCCAACGATGCGTGTGGGTGGACGGTAGCCCATCGCATAGCCCCCCACGTGGGCAGACGTGCCCCCCCCACCCCGTGTGAGCTCGTTTCCACACCCCGGTCTCAGGGCGCATGAGCCACGTGTTGGGGGCACAGGGAACGCTCCATGGCCTGGGCTCACCGGCTCCGAGACAGGACGACTGATAAAACCCACGCGGAGCTTCCAGGGAGGGGGAGGTGGGCCCTGGGGGCCGCTCACGTTGGGACGTAACATCCAGAGCCTCCCGCAGGGAAAGGAGATGTTACGAGGGTCTGAGCACAGTTTCCTGACTTAGGTCTTTCCCAGGGGCCTCAGGAATCAATCCACAGGGACAGGAGAGGAGGGTCCTGCCCGCTCAGGAAAGTTACCTGCCGGGTCTGTGTGAGGAGGAGGGGAGGGGGTGGGAGGAGGCCAGTAACCTGGGCCCGGAGCTGCCGGCTGGGGCCTCTCTCCACCCGAGTTCCCGGCCAGGGCCCCGGGCACACAGGCCAGTGGACCCACGTCCTTCCCGGTGTTTCAGGTAGACACTGGGCACCTCACCCCAGCACCCACTGGGTGATTCAAAGGACAGCCGGTGGGGCTGTTTCACCTACTCTGACCAGGAACCCGTCTGTCGGGGAATCAGCTTTATCAAGCCCGGCAAGAGCTGTGCCCCCAGGACACTCCTCAGAGACTCCGACAGCACCTGCTCGGCAGGACAGCCAGACAGACATCCCAGCGGGACTGCTGGGGATAAGGGGTGTCGCCGTGGGGTGTGACTTCTGGGGCCCACGCGATGGGCTCGGGCGTATGTGAATCTGGGGTCACGTACCCCATAGTGGTCGGCCACCCTCTTCATCTGCTCGAAGTCTTCCGCCTGGGCCAGCAGGCGTAGCCCCTCCGGGTGGAGCTGGCCGCAGGTCGGGTAGAGGGCCTCGCGGTCCTCTTTGCTCAGTTCGGTGCCGAAGGAGTTGAGAGTGATGATGAAAGCACGCCTGTCGGCCTCGAACTGAATCCGCAAGAGATGCAACCAGTGAGAGTCTAAGCATCTGCTCCAGGTTATACACACGGCCCTAAAGAGACAGTCACTTTTTGCCCGGCTGGTGTGGCTCAGTGGTTGAGTGTCATCCCATGAACCGAGGTCACGGGTTCGATTCCCGGTCAGGGCACAAGCCCAGGTTGTGGGCTCCATCCCAGTCGGGGGCGTGCAGGAGGCAGCCGATCAGGGATGCTTCTCTCTCCCTCTCCCTTCCTCTCTCTCTAAAAAAATGAACAAAAACATTAAAAAAAGACGATGCCTTTCTAAGCGATTTGCTTTCAAACTCTCTGGGGGCTTTGAGTGTCTGCGTCTGTGCTCTTGGTGAGAACTGGAATGGGGACTGTAAACAGGCCGTACAGGACGACACTCCAACCAACGGAGCCACCCGGCCAGGGCCAGAAAATACCACTTTTCTTAACCGAGGACATCAAAGGACATACATATAACAAAATATATCGCTTATTTTATTTTAGATAAAGGAGTGACTAAGATAAAGCACCGTCAGCCAGATGATATTAATGAGACGTGCGGAAGCCCGTTATCTGGCCTGACATTGTCAAGGACTCTTCTTACCTGGAGGATGGGACACATGATTTCTGCCGTGACGTCACCATGGTCCTTACAGAATTTATAGAAGGCCTCCAGGTAGGACTGAAAAAAGAGAGGTCACAAAACAGTGAGACGACTGTGTGCTCCTCGTGAACTTTTCTAGACCAACTTTTCATGGCTTAGTAAACACTTTAACGGAAGAGATGCTGCTTCTCCCATCGGGAGATATTTCATGATAAATTCGGGAGAAATCGTCATATTCAAGCATGTCGCGGTCTGAAAAAAACAACCCCGTGAAAGAGCCGAATTGTGCTGATCACACCTCATAATTGCTTGCAGCCACTTTTCTGCGTGGATCGTGGATGATCTCACACGGTCAGTTCTGGCGACTCTAAGGACAGTGCCAAACGCTTCTGCGAGCTCCGCAGACACTCTCGACGGTCCTGTGCCGACATCTCCTCCCTTAGGAGCCACACTCGGGTGGCTCTGAGATGGCGGGCACAGCGGGAGGCACCTGTGGTGCTGAGTCCCCGCATTGTTACTAGTGAACCGACTCCGGCCATGTGACCTCCCCTCCCGGCCTCCTCGTCTGATCCAGGAATGGAGCCCGCACGGTTTTGCTGGATAAAGTGAGTTACAGCCTATAAACTGTTTAAGCAGTGCTTTCCGTTAGCTGTATGCAGGGGTCCCTCCCGTAAGCCCATAAGCCTCTTTATAACGGACAGTTGCCCACGATGCAGGTGCAGTGCTTTCCGCAGGCCCCGCGTCTCAGCGTGGCACGTATAGGCGGCTGGCGGCCTGCGCTCATTCGGCTGCCCTGTGAGCGTGTCCGCGGGCGCTGTGGCCATCGGAGTGAAAGGACAGGGTTCACTCAGTGCCCGTTACACAGGGGTCCTGGGCGGGGGCCACACCGGTCAGTCACTCAGATTGTGCCAAGTGGCACCTGGGACATCGTGTGCCCGGCTGGTCATCCTGGCGTGTTGTCCACGGTCGGCAAGTTAAAGTTGTGTGGACAGATGAACTGTGGCACTCAGGGACACTAACAGGACAGAGGACAGAGAGGGACGCTAACAGGAGGCTCCCTGTAAATGCGGCTGTTTCCAAACCCATCAGCAGCTTTTACATTCCAGGCAAAGAGCTGGGGGTACAGAGAACTGGGTGTCACCCCCTCTCCGCCACCCTCAGGCCGGGGAAGCCGAGACGCAGGTAAGCCCCAAATACGCCTCGCGTCCCAGCTGCAGGGGCCGGCGACAGGCAGTCGCTCCTAACAGAGAACTCAATCGGGACCCAGGGCGCAGTAAAGAGAAACGTTACCTTGTACAGCTTGTTGCGCAGAATTTCAATATTCAGTTCGTCCAGCGTGTTCTCAGACATGCAGTCCTGGAAGAAGGGAGCTGAGGACGGAAGTCATCACACAGGATGAGACCACCGAGAGCTTGGTTATGAACCGTGGCAAGTGTGCCCTGAGCCCCCCGCCCAGGAGGCGCTCGCCCGCGGGGACGCCGGGGTTTCGGCCCACAGGCCCCTGCAACCTGAGGGCGAGGACCGCAGCCGAAGCGGCGGATTATTTAGCGTTTACCCTGCGCCCCGCGGCGCACACGGACACGCCCTCGCTCAGTCCCCACAGCCTGGGAAGCGTGCGCTCAGGCCCTGCTCTGGGAACGGAGGGGCCGGGCCGTCCCCTTCGAGTCCCTCCACTTCCAGCCGTGTTCACGGGACAACTGCGACTGGGACGGACTTTCCTAAGGACAGTGAGACACGCGGGCAGGTGCGGAATCACGACCGCGCTACCTAAGGGCGTCTCCACCAGGACGGCCTGGAAGAGGTCGGAGGGCGTCTCGGCGATGTTGACGGCCTCCATCTCCGTGAAGCGGCCCAGCGGGTGGCACTTGCCCAGGATGTCCCCCACCGACTTCTTCTGCAGGGCCCCGTTCATCAGCAGGATCACGTTGTCGATCATGTAGCTGCACCTGGAGCGGGGAGGCTCGGCCGTCAGGAAAACAGCCGCACCTGAGCGGGGCCCACCCACGGGCGAAACCGCCTCCGGGCCCAGGTGCTTCCTTCCCTCGGGGAGGGAGGCGAGTCTGGGCTTTGAGAGGTGTGGGTGCTAAGTACCCGACTCCTGGGGGAGCCGGAGTTGGAAAAGGCACACCCAGGGTTGTGATAACTAATTAACACAACTGTCGCGGGGGGTGGGTGGGGGTGCGGGTGTCAGGTGTCCCCTTCATCAGGATGGGTGGACGGTGGGCTCAAGAGGTTGAGAAACCCAGACCCAGGGCAGTTCGTTCTACTTTGAACACGCGGCGTGTTTACCGTCACCGGCTCTGCGCCCCGTCGAGAACAGTGGGGGGCAGACCTCACTGGTCTCATACGCAAGACACCGGACGGGACAGGGTTTAGAAAATTGTGTTTCTTACAGCAAGGGAAGGAAAAACAGCTGAGCGGACAGGAGAGAAACAAGTGTGGGGAGCATCCGCTCGTATCTATCAAAATCTAAAATCCCGTGTCTGCCGACAAAGCAGTTTCCCTCTGGGAATCTGTCCTGGAGAAGCTCTGGCAGGAGAAACCCCATCCGCGTACGAGGAACCTGTAAATGGAACAGCAGAGAAGAGACACCACCGAGGCAGGCGGGTGGGGGGGGGGCTAAATAAATCACGACGCCTGGCTGGGCGTGGCTCAGCGGTTGAGCGTCGACCTAGGATCCAGGCGATCAGGGTTCGATTCCCGGTCAGGGCACATGCCCGGTTGTGGGCTCGATCAATGACTCTCATCATTGATGTTTCTGTCTCTATCCCTCTCCTGCTCTCTCTGAAATCGATAAAGATATAGTAAAAAAAAAAGAAATATCAAGCGGGGAAAGAGCGGGAGGTGTTCGACTTCCTTCGCAAACATCTAAAATGCGACGGGCGGGGTGAGCGCGGATCGACGTAAATACACAAACGTAACTATTTTTCTGGAAAAGTGCATAAGAAAGTGAGCCGCGGTTACTGCCGGGAGAGAAGCTGAGCGGGGAAGCGGGGGCCGGTGGCATCGAGGAATATTTCCGTTTTATGCCCTTGTGAACCCGCCTAGGGCCTGGGCCCCGGCTCCCTAACTTTGTACATTGTATCTACAGCGCAGGTTCATGACTCGGCTCAGCTACAGTTTCCAGCAGTAGGTGTAATAATGTAATAACTGGATCGATGGCGGTGCCCTTTACTGCTGAGCGCAGGCTCAGCCTTTTTTCGAATGAAGGGTCCTGACACCGAAAGGCCGCAGCCGCCGGCCACAGAAGGGTACACACGGGACGCCCCAAGTAACCGGGGCGGGGGCTCCTTACCCCGCCCCAGGGGGGCCAGGAAAGGCCGACGGGGCCGGAAGAGCATCTCGGGACGTGTCAGCCCCACCCGACAAGGGCTGCGAAGGCCCCGGGGCATCGCCCTCCGTCCCAGCCGCCCAGACCCTTCCCCCGTCCGCTCCACGGGATGAAAACGGAAAACGCTGCTCATCCCGAGGCCGCCGCCACCTCGCAATCGGGCTGCTAAAGAAGCAAATTCCGTTGTCTCAGGTGTTCAGGGTGTGAGGCCTGAATTCAGACACGCCAACCAGAGAGGGTCTTAAACTGGGACCCAGCCCGGGCCCCCCGCACTCACGTCATGTAGGTGAGGAACGTGCTCAGCGGCTCCAGGGAATGGTTCCGGAAATACTCGAACTCCCCGCACAGCTTCTTCCTCATTTCGGTGTCGATTTTGGAAACGGTGAGGGGGCTCGTTTCATTGGCCAGGAAGTTGCCGTAATCCGTGGTCTGCAGGTGAACCTTCAGGTCTGAAACCGAGCAGGACCCCACAGCAGTTAGACGCGAGCTCGAATGAAGGCCTCTCCAGCAGCCACTGAATTCACGCGGACTCTGCGGTAAACGCGCGTTTCACTGTCGTGACCTTCGTAGACCTTAACCTAAGTTCCGTGTGTGATTTGGGTGAGTGTGTTTCTCTAAAGCAATAAACAATTCAATATCGATACGGATATTCTGGCACAATACACTTATTTTCAATTACCCAAAAAAAAAAAAACCAGAATTTTTTTTTTTTTTTTTTTTT